TGTCATAGTCAAAATACTTTTTTTCCTCAGTCGACCGAAAAAAAGTGTTGCATTGCTATATCAACTTCTGGAGGAACAAGCATGTTCGTTTGAACATGAACTTTACTGTTTACGGTTCATTAAAGTGTTATTTCAGGCTTGATACGTAATGCTGGCTTCTTACTGCACGTGTGTCAGTAGTTTTCAGACAGGTCAGTATACCGTATCAAAACTGCTTACTAATGCAAGAGATTACCTCCGAATATTATCAAGCCGTTCATGTTACACTGAGGTGGCTCGCTACACTCACAAAAAGTTGTTTGACAGCTAAAGGCTTAGGGCATAGGTCGACATACGGTACGGATTGGCAGAACAACTGTATCTTCAAGAATTAAGTTTAATGCTTACTAATGCAATCAATTTCGTGAAAAAAAAAAAAAAGAAAATAAGAAAAGAAAAGTGAAAGAAATACTCCACCTTCAATTGAGTGCTATTTTTAATTCATTTTCAATTAAGCGCAGACTGCAAGTAGCCAGGGGTAATTAATCACCGCTCAAGCATGAAATAAGAAGTATAAAGCCCGGTAAGTAAACATGAACAGTTTATAGGAAGGTAACACCTTTACAAGTAAGGTTCGGTAACCTTCCAGAGCTCGCAAATCGCGGAAAATGAAAAAGCTTGCATCAGTTTCTGGTTTTTTAGCCCTTCTCTTCTTATCATGCTGTGAGTATATGAAGTGTTTTGTATAGTTTTACTTAAGTAGTCTGTACAAGTAGCCTGTTTCCGCCGTATTTCCTGTAGGGTCAGTCATTTCTTTTCATGAGGCTATCTCGTTGATCGTTGATTCCTCCTTTACAGACCTCTTCAGTTCAGAAAATCTAATTTGTTTTGCTTTAAATGCTACTTTAAAAAGAGATATACGTTAAACAGTATTCCAATAATTTCTTATGGATACTTACCTATGAAAACGAAGTTTTTAGGGTCCTCACTAATGGCCTTTGCAACGATAACTGGTTTCTAAGTATCCTTTGCGAGAAATGTGCAGTTTTGAGAAATGCCACAGCCGCCGTATGGTTGGCAGTCATCGCTAACTGAAAAGAGAAAGCTGCTTCTAAACCATTCTTAGCTTTGTCTCGGTTGAAAACATTCATTTTTTATTTGTCAGTGTTTTCAGAAACTAACACATTCTAGCTACTCCCTCCCAGCTTCCGAGCCATTCTAAGCTTTGTCTCGGTTCGAACACATTCAGTTTTCATTTGTCAGCGTTTTCTGTAACCAACACAATCTGGCGGCTTTCGGATCAGGGACGAACAAGAATCGAAATTTGATGATGATCATTCTTAAAATGGTTGTTCGATTTAAATTCTTGCTTAGGCCGGTATAATGGCTGGTTTCCTACACAGGAAACTGGAAATATATTTCGAGAGAAACTCAACACCCAGATAAGCAATCTTTGTCCCGCAATCTAATTAAAAAAGGACCCTCACTTTCGATTCCGCTCACGTTTTTCTTTCGAGAAAGGCCTCTATTGACCAAACGTCTGTAATTTGCATGTTAGATGTACCTCAAACAATGTCTCTTGTTTCTTTTTTTTCTTTCCGTTTTTTTTTTCACAAAGAATTTGTTTGAAACCGGGAGATCAATGATCTAACATATAGTTTCAACTGAGTAAGAGAACACTTACAAGTTCATGTGAAAAATAAAAAGTTAAAATCGTGACTTTTCTAGCGGAGCAAGTTTACAAAGAGGAAGGTGATCAAAAGTTCGTCATGCTCAGAGATTTTCATGACACTTTTTTCCTCGCTACATAAGAAGGAGGGCAAGCACTCGTAACCTTTTCGTTGCGTTACCACACAATTTCTACTTACGAGGAGATTAAAGCTATCAAACTAGAATCTACTTGCTTCAGAGTACACATTCAAGCAAGATGTCCGAGATTTATTAAACTCGAGGACGTAGCTTGACGACCCATCTCCTATAAAAGATGTGATTTATATTAATGAGAGTATTGTGTGAAGTAACAAAAGCTGTGATTATTCACGATTAGAAAAATAAAAATGTAAACGGCGCCCGAGAAAAGCAACGAGCCATTTAAATACTCTTATATCTGAGAGAAATAGATGCACTTTCTTCGAGAATTTGCGAGGTCTTTCACATGTTTCGTCGGTTCATACGATGACCAAGTCTTGATAACTTCCATGTTATCCGAAAAAACTCAATCAAACAAAGCAAGTGCGTGCATTTTTATCGCCAGGAGGTCATTCATCTACGTAGAAAAAAATTGCACAAGTCAACAGTTTCATTTGGTTTTGTCTAGACTAATAACATCACAGGAGATAGTGTAGACAAAACTGTCTACGTTCCGGACTGATTACGACATTTCCGTCATCTTCAGGTGCAGAAGACGAAGAGAGTGGATGTCTTTACGTATCCCATCTCAGCGGTGAAGACTCGCCTCAGTGTGGTTCTTATGCTGCGCCCTGCCGGACATTAAAACGAGCGTTACTCCTGGTTAAAGATAGCGGCGAAATTTGCCTCAACGGAGCGAACAGTGAGTCAAATCCATACGAATGTTTGAAAATGGATGGTCCTAATGGAACTCAATTGATACCTATAGGGAAAAGTGTATCGATAAAAGGTGTGTCCTCCCCAGCATACATTTCATGTGGTTTGGTATTTACATCAAGGTTCAATTATGGTTTCGTCAAAGGTTCTTTCTCAAACCTTGTTTTCAACAATAGTAAGTATGGATTAGCCTTCCTCAATGTGCCCGCCTATCATGTCGCCATTTCCAATTGCAAATTTATCAATTGCTATAAGGCTATTTCCATGTTGTGGGAAATAAGTCAGGGTTTTTCTGTCATCCGTCAAAAGTCTTCACTGTT